CTGTTTTATTTAAATATAATATTTATTTAAAAAGTTAAAAGTGTGTATGAAGTTTTTTCATAGAGACAGGGTTTTTATGGAATATAGTAAAACATAAATTGAAGTATTTTATTTCTTACAGGACACGGCTAGGGGAGAGGATGGTTAGCATGAGCTCTATGCTCGTGGAAACAGTTAGTATAAACTATGAAGATTTCAATGAAAGTTTTTTAACATGTGGTACATGTCTTTGTGTCTATGATGGTGGAGAGCATACTCCTAAATTATTACCATGTTCACACACGGTAAATATTATATTTATTATTAATATTTACATTATTCAAGTAACTTTTTAATATTATATGGTATAATTTACTTCTTTTCTTATATGTGCAGGTATGTTTGCATTGCTTGACAAGAATTGCTGCATCTCAGACTCGTGAGACTGGTGCCTTTCGATGTCCTATTTGCAGAGAGTTAATAACAATTCCTCGTGGTGGAGTTCCTGCTTTACCACCTAGTTTCCTTGTGAATCAATTACTTGACCTCATGTCTAGACAAAGACGAGAGGTTTGAAGCAATATTCTTTAAACAATGTTTCTTTATGTGTTATTGAAGTACTATACCAAATTTTCTTTATTATTATAGGTTATTCCAAAATGTTCAGTTCACATAAATCAAGAGTTGTTATTTTGTGAAACATGTGATACAGTCTTTTGCACAGTGTGTACAGGTGGTAATCATGCAGGAACATCACCAGGATGTACTGAGCATACTATCATACCTTTTAGTATTGCAATAAAAAGAATGTCTGAAATTTTACTTTACAAAGCTAATGAATGTATATCCAAGGTAAAATTATATTTTTATAATAACTTGGAATTTCTTATCAATTCAGCTTCTTTTATAGAATTCGAATTTTATTGGTTTTAGTTAACACAAGCTCAAGATTCTGTAAGCACAGAATTACAACGTTTGGAAGCTTCTACAGAAAGGTGTTTGAATGCTGTGGATAATGAATTTGCAGAAATTACTGCAAAAATTGAAAGGAGACGTTCAGAATTGCAAGCAGCTGTTACTGCTGCAGCAAGAGATAAAAAACATGTGCTAGAAGAACAACATGCTCTCATAGAAGCTGAAAAAAATAAAGTACAACGAGAGTGTGAAGGCTTACAATATCAGGTATGGTATTGTTGATAACAATTGTTTATGCGTATTTCTTGCATGTTCATAATAAAAACTATATATAATTTTCGTTAAAGGTTGAAGTACGAAACATTACACAAAGAATCGGTAGTTTATCCGACCAACTTGATGCGGCATCGGCACTTAGTGAACCTAAAGAAAATGCTTTTATTACTTTTGAATTTAATCACAATAATGCTCTTTCTCAATTAGAGGAAGCTCTTAATAACTTGGGAAGAGTACGTTCTAGTACAACATTGCCAGGTATCCTGAGGATTGATAATACAGTAAAGTACCTGCTTCAAACTTGTTATTAATCATTATGCAAGCGTTATTGCCTTATTTTTTTAACGTTATATTTTTTAAAAAACCTATTATTTATTCTAAGAATATATTTTTTATACCAGGTTTGTGTAGAGCCCGGTTGAAAGATCCTGCTATAGTTAAATTGCAAGCAATTGTAATAGTAGAGACTGTCGATTACCATGGACATCCTAGAAATATTGGAGGAGATCTGATTACTGCAGAATTAACTTTAGCAGATAGTATCCATTCAGAAAACCAAAGTTCCAATGTTGACACTGAAATTGTAGATTTAGAAAATGGTACATACGAAGTACTATTTCGACCTCCATCTGCAAGCCGCTATGTCTTAAAGTTGTCAGTTTTTGAGCGGCCTATTAAAGATTATCCTTTATTTTTTGATGCGACTGAACATAATGAACCTATTAAAATATACGGAAAACGAGGAAGTGGAAAAGATGAATTTCATCAACCAGTAGCAGTTGCTGTTGATGATGATGGCATGATATATATTTTAGATACTGGGAACTCACGTATAAAAGTATGTATACAATTATAATCTTTATAAAATGATAAATTGTTAAATATTCAAGTTTTGTTACGAACAATGTTATATTTTTAGGTACTCAATTATGATTTAGAATTTCAAAGACATATAACTAATGAAGGTCTTGAAGGTCGTAGTTGTACAGGAATTGGTATTTCTCAGCAAGGTCTTGTTGTTGTCAATTGGAGAACGCGAAAAGTAACAGAAATGAGTTCTTTAGGTGACACTATTAATTCTTTTTCCCATAATGCATTTCACGTTAGTATTGTTTATTTTCAAGGATGTGTATACAGTATATATAGCCTTTTGATTATGAGTAACATTACCAATCATACTTGCTCTTCAGGAGCCAATTGATGTTGCTGTAGACAGAAGTTACGGTCACATACTTGTTGCAGACAATGGTCAAAGTTGTTGTGTTTTTGTATTCGATTCTGATGGCAAAATTCTCTTTCAGGTTAGATAATACTTAGATTCGTTGAATTTATTAACAATTTTTTTATTTTTTGCATTGTTCATTATACGTACATATTTTTAAAAAATATTAATAGGTTGGAAAGAGAAGTACATTTAAATTGATTACTTCTGTTACTGTTGGACCCAATGGTGAAATTGTAGTTGCTGATAGTCGCATTCAAGTATTTTCTGCTAAAGGGGATTTTTCTGAAGAAATCTATTCAGAGGGCAAAGGTAATTTCTGTAATATTCATACAGTAACGATCGTATTTAATAAGTTTTCTGTGTTACAGGAAAAGGTACTTATGGAGGACTAGCCGTCGATCCAGAAGGCAGAATACTTGGCACTCGTACTGATAAAGGCCGCAGTATAATCCAAGTATTAAAATTAGGAGGAGGTAATATTTTAACTGAAATTGATTCGCATAGTTCAAAACTACGACGTCCTTCAGGTATTGCAGTACTACCTGACAATCACTTAGTAGTTGTAGATTTGGGAAATGATTGTATAAAAAAATACAGATACTGGTAAAAATAATTGAGTTTAAAGAATCAAATTTGTTTTATGTCCAACAGGAATAATTCACATTACAGACATATACCAAATATGTATTTAATATAGCTTAAATTATTTGCTTTTAAAAGACTTTTGTTATATAACTTTAATGTTTAGATTTTTTAAGTTTTTTATGTACTGTTTTTTAAAGTTACAAACTTAGATGAATCAAAATAATTTTGTCAGTGTATGAAAACATTGGTGATATTTAATGATATAAGTAGTACATATAAATATGTATATGTATTACTTATATAAAAAAATTTCAAATTATTTATGTTTTTTGCGATATAAGTCATTCTCCTAATATAAAACAGACTTGATTACTATAAAGTAATTTATAGTATTTTGTGTCATTATACTTGTTTATTTAATTTTTTTACTACAAAACAATAGATGTGATTTTTTTATTTTTTAATGCTTATCTTAACTAATATCAGAATATACTGTAATGCGTGTTTACACTGCCATAGTCTGATATTTTAAATTTATGACAGTTATCACCAGAGTCCACATATTTCATAGAAATGTATTTGTATAAATGTAATAATAGATAGATTCTTACAATT